TGCCATGGGCAGGGACACCTCCCACTAGCCCAGGTTGCCCAAAGCCTCATCCAGCCTGGCCTTGAACCCCTCCAGGGATGGGGCATCCACAGCTTCTCTGGGCAACCTGGGCCACTGCCTCACCCCCCTCACCTCTCCCCTTCCCCTTCAAGAGAGGGGCAAGGACCAGCCAGGGAAGGGCTGGGGACAATTTCTGAGGGACTGTGCTGAGTATCTGCTCTGCACCAAGATGGGGAGGGCTCCTTGCTGCAAGCGCAGGGAGGAGGTCACGCTACAGGGACAGTCCTTGGCCAGCACACCATGTGCTCGGCACGTCTCTCACCAAGTGATGTATTGAGCAGCCTCGTGTGCAGAGCACGGCAGCGGAGAGAGGTTCCTGCTCCCTGCATCGCCACGGCCCCCTCCCCGCAGTGATGCACTCGGGCTGCGCAGGCTGGGCGCTGGATTGTGCTGGTGATGGGGCACAGAGGAGAAAACCATCCCCCCTCCCCACCAGAGCTGCTCCCGCCGGCCCTTTGAGTCTGTGGCAGGGGACTCTGACTTGGGAATGGCAGAGAAGGGGGAATTTCATCCTCCCCCACGCTGGCTTTTCCACCCACGCTCCTTTGATCTGCTCCAAGCTCCAGTACTCACGCCGGGGGGCATGGTTCGGTGTTGCATGACCTCTGCCGCTCTGGCATTTTGGTTTCAGGGCTACAGAAATGGTTGTAGACAGTTGAGCCATCAGAAAGTTTCTTACATACCACAGATTGGATCTGGCTGCCTGCCAAGAAAAAAAAGGGAAGGGGGAAAAGAGAGGAAGACTCTGGGGCTCGCGCTGAGCCAGAGAGCGGGTCCCAGCCCCACAGATCTGCTCCCGCATGGGCGATGTTATGGGGCACCCGCTTGTCACCACACCTCAGCAAGCCTGAACCTGCTTTTGTATTCACAACCAAGGCAACCTTTGCCTCTAACGTCTCCAGAAAAAAAATGGATTGGGTGAAGGCTCACCAGCCTGGGAAGGACCGAGCAGAGTTTGCAGAGGATGGAGGATCAAAGCGTTCCAAGGATCTTGTCCTCAAACAAACCTGCTCTAACCTTGGCCTTGTGACACCTTCTGGGCAGAACTGGGGGAACAGCTGGGACAAGATGTGACAACACACAAGAATCATAGAGTCACAGGATGGTTTGGGTGGGAAGGGATCTTAAAGCCCACCCAGAGTCACCCCCTGCCATGGGCAGGGACACCTCCCACTAGCCCAGGTTGCCCAAAGCCTCATCCAGCCTGGCCTTGAACCCCTCCAGGGATGGGGCATCCACAGCTTCTCTGGGCAACCCTTGGACAACCAAGACCAGGTCAAGGCCCGTAGCTTTAAGCAGGGAACATTATTAAGCCTTGCTTTTGGAACTGCCTCTCTCTTCTTCCAAACACCTCTCTCCTCTTCTGGCTCAGCCACTTGCAGCCAGGTTCTCCAGAGCCACAAAACATGGCACAAACTTTTGGACTGATCCCCATGGGAACCAGCCCAAAGGATTCAGGGAAGCATCAACGATGCTTCCGTTCACAGATCCGTAGATCTGAAGGCCAGAGGGGCTGTTACAATCAGCCACCCTGTCCTGCGTCGCACAGGTACATGAATTTCAAGCATCTCATGCCACCTTCCATCACCTCTACTACCTCCACCCGTGGTCCAGCCGAAGGACAGCATCCAAGCTGTTTGCCCCAGCACTCAGCTCACAAGATGATGCTGGCGGACACCAGCTTGCCCGTGGCTGAGCGCAGGGTGGGAATATGTAGGAACACAAGAGCTCTTTCAGAGCAAAAGGATGCCAGCGTCCATGCGCTGTCTCGCGTGGCCCAGCCACAGTGCGTGGGGGTGTCACAGGAGTGCAGACACGTGTGTCCCCTCCCCGAGCCAACAGAGGGTCAAACCTCACCCCCTGCACACAGCACTGAGCATTTAGTCCACGGGGTGTAGTGCCAGGAATACTGGTTGGAGGTATCCCTGCCGATGGGCGCGTTGAACTTGTAGCGGATCCCCTGCAGCTCCGTCCGCACGAGCACCTGTGGAGAAAGGCACCATGAGTGCCACCGAATTCCAGCGTGGTTGTGACCACCCAGATGACATCCCACCATCTCAGCGTCCTCTCTGAAATCCACAGCAGCTGAAAACTCCCCCACTTTCCCCTTTCCAGTCCCTTCCAGCATTGCCATAGCAGCCACCAGTGATGACAGTGGTGTGGCCATGAAGGTGACGTGATCAGAGAACAAGCTCCCATGCACTTCAAAGACTGAATCATTCCAAATCCTGGCAGATTAGGGAGAGAGACCTGAGAATTTAGCCCAATTTACCGCTGATCTCTGTGCTCCTTTACTCCACAGAGCAGGGACAGGGGCTGAGAAGCTCTGCGGCAAGGTCTCTCTAGCCCAAACGAAGCCCAGAACAGGTGGGAGTGTGAAGGAACCACGTTACCAACCATGACAAAGAGGGTGACGTTGGTGGGTCCCAAAGCCTCCAGGGACTCAGGCTCCTCTGGGGACCTCCTGTAGTGGAATGTTGTGCCTGCGATGTCAAAGCGCCGGGGAGGGTCGATGGAGAGCTTCCCGTTGATGTAATACTCGCCCGTCTCCCCTCTCAGCGCTGCGAGGACAGGGGAGTGAGGGTCAGCAGAAAGGCTGAACGTGCCCGGACCCAGCTTTATTTACCGTTATAATTTATCGTTACCATCAAGCCTCACTTTACAGGGACGGAATAGGTAGGGCAAATAAAGTAGGTGCCCGGCTCAGGGTCACACAGAATGTCACTAGCAGAGGGGGGACCATTGCACCCATCATCTCAACTCAGCCTCACTGGGGAAGAATGATGCCGCGGGGAGCTCAGCCAGCCACCGGTGTGGTGACGGGGACACCCAGCAGCGTGACATGCAGGGAGCTCAGCCAGCCACCGGCGTGGTGACGGGGACACCCAGCAGCGTGACAAGGTGTGAAGCCAGGCTCAGCTCCAGCTGTGCAAACTGGGTCTTGGCTGCTGGGGCTACTGGAGGAGGCTGGTCCCCAGCAGCCTGGCTGTGGTTGCCCAAGCGAGTCGCTAGAGGGGGATCGGCTTGCTCGCTCGCTCCTGCTCGCATTCCCACGCTCTCCCTGCTCGCTCTCTGCCACCAACACAGCGCTGGCGCCCAGCTCGGCATCGCTCCTGCCCCTGCTGCTGGCAACCACCTCATGGACATGATGGTCTGGGGCGGGGAGGATGCTTTGTGCTGATGAGGATGGAGGATGCTCCTTCTCATCCCGTTGGAGTAGGGACAGATCCAGGAGTGTGAGAGGCTGGTGGCACCAGCTGATAGAGATACGAGCTTGGGCTGTGCCTCCAGTGCATAGAAATCCAGTTTGGATGGACACGAGGAGCTCCCAGTACACCTGAGCTGGGCATGGAGGGATGTTGGCATCCCCAAACCTAGCAAAGGTTGCTGGCCTGGAGGGATGCTGCCACCTCCCACCGGTGCCGGCATCCGGGAGGGCTCCTGCTCCTGGAGAGCGACGGTGGAGGCACCCGACAGCAAGCCAGCAGCGAGCACCCCTGCTTACCCCCCCACCATCACTGTCCATCCTTCGGAGGACAGAAAGAGAAGACAGGGGGAAAGAAAAAAGCCCGTTGTAAAAACCAGCCGGAGTCTGGCTGGAAAATTAAGCCCAAGGAAAATGTGAGCAGGTCTATTTTTAATCCCCAGCCCAACATGCTGGCGGAGAGGGGAATGCCAAGGAGCCGCAGCCAGCGCCAGGAATGGCAGGGTGTGGGGTTTGCTCGGGGTTACGCTGCTGAACAGTGAGCGCGGGACGAGACAGGGGCTGTGTGAGCCACACCGATACGGCCGACGCTGGGCTGGGACACGCCGCCCCGCCAGCACACCCTGCTGCCTTCCTCTGCCCCCTGCCCCAAGCTGGGACCCCCAGCCCCATCCTCTGCTGCGGTGGGAGGTTTTCCTTTCTCACGCCCTATTAACTGCAGGGAAATGGCAGAGCGAGGGGTGTCTGGCTGGGATTTCAGCATCCCCCAGCCCCATCTCACCTAGGTAGTTGATGGAGAGGTTCAGCTCCCGGATGTCGATGTGGACAGAGCCCTTGGGAATCTGGATCACCTCCTCGTAACCTGTGAGACAACCCGGGGCCGGTGAGCAGCGATGCTCAGCCTCCGAGCCCGGAGCCAACCCTGCCCTGGGCTGGATGGGAGCGTGTGCCACCCTGTCCCCCGTGGCTTCAACATGAAATGAGATGCTGGCAGTGCAGAGGTGTTCATTCAGCCACCCACTGCAATTAAATTACGGAAAAAGCACTATGGCCCCCCCAGGACAGGGGCTTGCTTGCTTTGCAGTGAGGGCGCTTGTGATGGGACCAGCTGTGCTGGGGAGCTGGGATCTCCACGGTGCTGGGGAGCTGGGATCTCCATGGGCATCTCCACAGCTTGGCAGCGTGGGGCAGGGAGCAGGGAAGGAGCTGGGTGTTCTGTGCCAGGCGCTTGGGTGCCAGCGGTGGCTGGGGCACAGCTGGGTTGGTGACCAGGAGCGACGGGCTCCCTGTGTGCAGCCTGCTCCTGCCCTTTGGGGTGCTGCCCTGGGGTACGTCCCTGCCTGGCCTGTGTGGGAGCAGGCGCAGCTGAGGAGGTACTCGAGGGTGGGTGACGGTGGCCGCGCTGGCCAGGCCACTTGTTCCCTACCTCCCTCCGGCAGGGACTGGTTGAAGACGCCCTCGATGGTCTCGCAGGAGCTGCCATCTCCCCCACACACACGACACTTGTCTTCCTTTGAGTCAGAGCCCAGGACACGGTCGCAGCCCACGTGCTGAAGGAAAGAGCAGAGGGAATGAGCCATCCTGGTGGGACCTTGTCCTCCCCACCCCTGACCTGCAGCATCCCAGGGAGCCGGGAGCTCTCCTGGGCTCCTCTCTCCCCTCCACAGCACAGTATGCGAGGGAGCGCTCAGCACCATCACCTCTGCCCAGCCCCACCCTTCTGTCACCCCGGGGGGGGGTCCCTCTCCAAGGCTGGGGGGCACAGGCAGGGATCCCAGGACTCCAGGATAGGGCAGAGGTTCGGGTGGCTGCGCTGAGCTGGGGGAACTGTCGCAGCCCAAGGAGAGCTGTGTCCCCACAGCACCAGCATCACGGTAGGAAACCCACGTGAAGCCTCTGCCTCTGCTCTGCTGCCACAGTACGTGGGCCAGCGAGCTGGGCTAGTGAGCTGGGCTAGCAAGCGGGTCACCAGCGGGGCTGTGGCTACCGATGGTGCAATCCCTCTTTTGTTCCACAGTGGATTCAGCCCCACTGAGACAAAGAGAGCCCAGAGGCACAGGAAGGGAGGCAGACAGAGACAGCCAGAGCCCTGAGGGACATTCGCCACTCCCACGGCGCGTTCTTATAATTAAAACTTTTACAGCCCTCCAGATCCCATTTCAAGGGCAATATCAAGTGCCTGAAACTACATGGGTTGTAAATCACAGATTGGTTAGGACTGGAAATGACCTTCGAGATCATCCAGTCCCACCCCCTCCCACTAGCCCAGGTTGCCCAAAGCCTCATCCAGC